TATATCTGAAATCGTGGAAGGAAAGGGTAGGGTTATATATATATTTGTAATGAAAACGCCTGGGACTATTCAACTGTGCCAAAATATACGGGGTGTTCCATTAGAAAAAACATAATTGGCCGCCGTATCTTCTCAACGTCACCCTGTATAAAATTTCTGATGATGCCAATGGATTCCACGCATCATACTGTATGAATATACGTTTGAAATTTTTCAATACCTCTCACTGTAAAGTAGTCAGAAAATAAAATCGAAATCGGCAAATTTTCAATTTCCCCCTGTATCTCTAAAACGAATGAAGATATCGGAGTTTTGATTGTACCATTCGAGGTTTCTCCAAAATCGAACCCGGAACATGTATATTGGTTTTTCGATAACTCCTCTAGTTATTGAGATAGACGGTGAAAACGCCCAATTTTGCCCACCCTGTACACATTTCATTTTCTTTGTATTCTAAAACTCTGCCAATATACCATATTTGTTCATAAAACACACTATAGTACTTTTCTCTAGGAGAAACAACATTATATGTATTATGTATATAATTTTAAAATGATTATCTGATTATCTTATTTTTGTATTTTTAGTTGCTCTTTCATAATTTTCCCTGCTATAAACATATATGTTTCTTGGGAATAATAAAGATAATAATAAATTTGAGAAACAAATTCATACGCGCAATAGGGTGTTGATATTTCAATTTTATGTCTTCTCTACATGTCGATGCGATTGTATATTAACTCTATGAAAAACTAATTACGTAGATTGTTTTTCAAATTTAATGCCGACTGTCTCAATTTTTCAACCGGTTTGCTAAATATTGCCCGGCATTTCCAGATATTTTCTTGCATTTCCCGTATTTCCTGGCATTGCCTCGTATTTCCCGACATTTCCCGCATTGACCCACATTGCCAAATATTTCCCCAAATTTCCCAGTATTGCCCCGCATTTCCCGGTATTGCCTCGTATTTCCCAGTTTTGCCTCGTATTTCCCGTATTTCCAGTATTTCCGATATTCATTTTTATTGCCCCGCATTTCCCAGTATTGCCCCGTATTTTCCTGTATTGCCTCGCATTTCCAGACATTTCCTCGTATTGCCTCATATTTCCCACATTTCCTAAAATTTCCTCGCATTGCCCCGTATTTCCTCTCAAGTGTACGAGAATTTCCCCAGTGGCAACCCCCTCGGGAAAGACACTTTCTGCAAGAGTTAGGAACAATATTTTTTCTACAAGCGTAAGAAATTGATTGATTTATTCAATTTATTATTCATTCATATAGAACCAACTGACAAGAGAGAGAACTATATTCTCTATCTATTGATTATTAGTAATAGCTATTTCATTTCTTTAATGTTGCACCATTTGATAAAACGCGTGAATAGCTTCTCATACCTTTCTTAAGACTTCGTTGGCAATAACGCATCTGTATCGCATCCTTATAGCTGGAAGTTTTTGATCACATTGTGGCAATTCCACTGAATCGAAAATGACAGTAACGCTGTGTCTGTCACTTAGACAATTATAAACTCATTCGAGGTTTGATTGGCATGACAACAATAATCGTTTCTCATCAGATCAATCAAATCTATAGGGGGATTTTTATAATAATCAATTTTTATTTTTCAATATTTCTCAATCTTCACAATAAATAGTGCAATTCGATGGATTATTCTGAACATACATACTTAATACTGCAACAAACAAACTCGGAAAATGACACTACCCAAACTAAATTGCGTGCGGATATAGGGTGAATCACGCACGCTTGTAGAAAAAATGTTTTCCCGTAGTTTTCACATTATTATAGTAGGAGAGCCGGGTGCAGGTTTCTACCGTCATCTGACTACGAAATGATATACAGGGTGAGTCATTGAAATGGGAATGTGAGATAACGGCTTCCCTGTTTGAGATAGATGAATAAAAATGTTTGTGATGGTCTAGGCTCATGAGCAGCATATTTCTAAATTACATTGCGTATACAGGGTGACTCAAATATGCGTGGCGTATCAAAGTTATACTTTTTATTATAGAACACCCCGTGTTTGATTGCATTTTCGGATTCTCTTTTGTGAGCTGATTCCATCAATACATCACACTCGGGATCTAGCGGGAATGATTACAGAGATTTAGGGTGTTCAAAATCGAGATTTTTCAACTGAAGGATTTTTTTTTTGTGGAAACTATTAATTATTGGTCAGAACGGCTCACATGTCTCCATCTTAACTGTTGATTCACTATCTAGTATCTAGTGATATTTAATTTGGACAAATACAGGGAAGTTTTTCTTCTTCTCTTTGGGTTTATTGGATTTCTGTCTCCTTTCGGTAACAATTTCTCCAGATCAGGTAATTAATTTTTTCAAGAATAAATACTAGGTTATGTAATAATATTATCACTCGACTCGCCACATAAGACACCAATTGTCTATCACAATGGCCTGAAGCCGAGTCATCAGTGTTCATAAGATTCGATCGTATGTACTCCTCTTATCCAGCAAATCCGTTGCTGATCCGGCCTGTTTTCCGGCGTAGAAATAATGGAGCAAGTTTGACTTCAAGTATGGCCCCCTTATCCGATGAATCCGTCATCATCCGGCCTCTATACCGGCGTAGAGATAAAAGAGCCTGATATTTCTCACACACACTTAATAAACTTCACATTAAATATTGGATTTCAATCCAGATCAGGTAATTAGAAAATTATGGACTTCACACACATTCACAGGGTAGTTCAAAATTCAGAAAATGTTTGCCCCTATTCTTGCAGATTTGTTTTTCGGTTTTGTAGGAATTTAATTAGGTATATCAATTGAGTTTATAATTTGGCAAGACTTCATCCACGGATTTTCTTGATACTAGACGCCTCGCTAGATGCGTTATAGCGTTTCAACTGAATGAAACCGTCGCTGTAAGGAAATTCGTGAACATATTCGTGCCGAATAATGAACAATAAATTATTGAATAAATTATACAGTGCTTTTCTTCAATGTCCCCTCCCCCCTCTTATTGATGCATGCATACTATATTTTGAAGTGAAATTGAAAGATGAAAATTTCTAGAGGGTTGAATTGGGCACAACTCCCAAAAGTCGAAATTAGCCCTAAATAGAATTTAGTTTTTTGTGTGTAATAGGTATACCTAATTTCAATTAATCATTTTGAAAATTGTAGGAGAAAACTAGAAAAACATGGAAAAAGTTTCAAACTTTGACTCTCTGTATATCGGAAAAGATGTGTTGACCCTGTAGAATTCATGATGAATTATATCAAAATCCGACCACGCGACTTTTTCAATGGTTGATGTAACATGATCTTTTTTAGAAGCCATTTTTAATATAAAAATACTCACATACATGCAGCATTCAACTCAAAAAACAACTGAACAACGTGGCGAAGTAAGACTGACTTGTTTATATTAATTCGGATTGAAGAACTCAGGGTGTTCGGATTATGGATACCTAATATATTACATTTCATCATCATCATCCATTTTATGAAATGGACTCGGAAATGGAAGATTACCTGATGAATAATTAAACAACATAAAAACTGACGTCACAGTCCGACGTATCGCCAAATGGCGGCCATAAAGGTTCGACTGAAATGAGCGCTGAAATTCAGCAATTTCAAGCAACGCATTGACTCATTATTTTTATTGAAAAAAGCCGGAGAAGTTTAGCAACACAGTGGATTAATTGAATGTCAATAATTCATTATCAGTCCACTCGCCCATTCCAAGATGTTTGACCCTTTGTAAATTAATATTAGTATGTCTTTTACTTTCTTGTCAGGATCAGTATTACCATGTTGATTCTTTACAGGTACTAATGTTTTCATGTCTGATGATGGCCATAGCGCCGAAACCATTAACAAATTTTTATTAGTTTGACGTTGGTAGAAAGAAGTCCATTGCAGCTCAAAGTGGAGTGATAGGGTTCATATTCAATGAGAAAAGTGCAAAGTCATCTCCATGACCATTTCAATTTGAAAACATCATATAAGGAACATGTTTCAGACACATGCAATTTCCATCCTCAGCCTATGCGAAGAAATCATGGAAACGAAGAGGTTATGTTAAATTCTAAAGTATCGATATGGGTTTTTAAGGGGTCCTAACCCCCAAACATGGAAAATCAAATTAAGGAGGACGACGATGAGGCTCAACAATTAGTAACCAACTATTGTTGTTAATTTTCCAATTGTTTTTTTCAATCATTAAGTGTCGTGGACACACGTGATTTTACATATTCATACATTACAATGGAAGTTCCTCAAGGATCGATCTTAGGTCCCCTGTTTTTTGTTATTTTCATGAACGATATTATATATTCATGCACTCCTCCAAACATAATGGTAATTTATGCTGATGACATAAATCAACTGATAACCGAAAACGATCTGGAAGCTTTTGTTGAAAAAGCGAATGATTGTATGCAAGAATTTCACCATTGGTGTCACAAAAACGGACTATTGGCAAATTCATCTGAAACACAGTATATGCTACTCTTACCAAAGAACATTAGCTATGACTATAGTCCTTCGATCAAAATAGATGATACATCCATCAAAAAATTGCCTGAAACAAAATTCTTGGGTGTCATCGTGGATCAAAAGCTGACATGGGAACAGCATGTAGACAATATAGTATCAAGATTGAGCAGTGTTTGTTTTGTTGTCAGGCAACTGAGGAATACAGTTTCTCTGGATGTGCTCAAACTTGCCTATCATGGGTTAGTGCAATTAGTGGAAATATTGATGTTTTTATGTTGTGAATGTTCTTTTACACATGTATTATTCCCCACTTAATGGAAGCCAGCTTCAACAAAATCTCATTTTCCAGATCCTGCTGAAGAGCCAATAAAGACTCGAAAGCTTGAACAGAAACAAGAGTACACTTTGTTTTTCTTTGACTGCATACCCAAAAGGAATTCTCACTATATATCTATCAGTATATCAATCAAACAGGAATATTCTCTATTCGACTCTATTTCCGTTGCAGAACTCCGGCACGGACGCGTCGCAGTCGTGCAGCCAATCGGACTCATCCGATTCGGACTCGTCGACGTCCAGCCAATCGTCGCGCAGCGATCGCAGCGCCGTCGAGCAACACGAGTTTTCCGTTACCAGCTCGCAGACGGACGGTCTGCGGCTGACCATTGCGGCGAAGAAGAAGACTCCCGCGGAGGAGGAGAGGGCAGGTGAGAAAGATGAATATAAAACTGACACAGTATTTTCAGCACAATCCTGGCACGACGGACTACTGACCAAAATGGTAGACTACGGGTATCCGATATCTACGGTAAAGCTAATAGCCTCCTTTCTGCGGGGAAGGCGATGCCAATGTGAAGTTGGCAACGAAATCTCTGCAGGGAGGGAGCTAGAAGCAGGAGTACCGCAAGGTGCGGTCCTTTCACCACTACTTTTCTCCATTTTTACTGCAGATATCCCTAAACCCGCGAACAACTTTAACGAACTCGCACTATACGCCGACGACACAGCCATAATTGCCAGATCCAGCAACGCAGACATGACAGTACGATACCTACAAGAACAAATAGACACACTAGAAACCTTGTTTAACAACTGGAAAATAGAAATTATCCCAGAGAAAAGCCTAGCTGTTCTCTTCACTGGACGACATACCGAACCCACAGGACACGTAATACTAAACGACACACAGATACCATGGACAGATGAGGCAAAATATCTAGGGGTAACCCTAGACAACAAACTTACTTTTAGACAACACATCACAACACAACTAAACTTGGGAAAAGCCGCAAGGCAAAACCTACAGACTCTAATAGGTAGCAGAAGCAACATGGCTCTGGAGTTGAAGCTGCGCCTAATAAGAACCATTCTACTTACAATAATTTTGTATGCATCAAGTGCATCGGGTCAATGCGCAGAGACATACAAAAAGCGCATACAGGCATTTCTAAATGTCTCAATAAGAATGGCAGTAAATGCCCCATGGTATATCCCAAATAGATTTATCTATACTATAGATAAATCTATTTTCAGGTCCCTATAGATTCTATAGGGACCTGAACATAAACCGAGACTACATAGACAACTACATAAGACAACACGCAGAGACTACATTCGGAAGAACAGAAATCCACGAAAATCCGCTACTGCACGACCTGACTAATAGACAACTAAATCAAGACCCGCCCTTCGGAAGAATAAAGTACAGGCGCCCAATTCACCAAATATAAGATGAACAAACAACCTCTATCCAAAGTACATATTTCCTTGGCTCCATGTAGGGAGCAACGACGTACTTTTCCTCCCTAGGGAGGAAGAGTACTCATTCTCCCTAGCTTTTACTAACTAGAGCAGGAAAATGTGTCTACCAAATGGTTGAAAAGAATTCTATTGCAGAATTTTTAAAACTGCCTGATGTCATGAATTATACCGGGCATACTTTCAGAAGAACCTCGGCAAGTTTACTTGCAAATTCTGGAGGAGACATTCTTGCTTGGAAGTCTACGAATATCGCTGAAGGGTGTGCAGCAATCTCTCACAAAATAGCAGAATATTTCGAACCAAATTGTGGGTCACTGAAGTTTTTTATGAAAATATCACGAAAACTGTATTGGCTCCAGATCTCACTTCTAGTGGTTTTCAAATAACCACTGCTCAAAACTGCACTTTTAACATTAAATTATATAATTATTACTCTACCACAAATTGAAAATAATATAGGATGCAAGAGTGAAAATAACGTGCCCAAAAGTTATACTGTATACCTACTTCTTTGTTACTTTCATCAATAAATTATTTGGAAATGACTTTATTTAAGGGAGTTGGAAAAATCATATGTATAACATAGGGGTTATAGTATATTCTATTCTTCATTCTCCTGCAATTTCACGTATTATTTTTTATAATATATATAACTTTTCGTCCTAGAATTAGTCACTCCATAAATTTTTCTCCGAGTTGGATTTCCGAAAACATATTTAGCACACATGACATGAGTACATTAGTTCAGATACCCACATCGAGGTTTTCACCATTTCTCAATCATAAGTCTCAGCTCATTCAGCTCATAGTTGAACTACTGCTCAGCTTGAAATCAGAATTCATTCAGTCAATTCAGTCAACCCTGGTATACAGTCTAAGAACAGTCTCTTTTGGTGAAATATTAGTAGTACGAATTATATGTTCCCTACCTCGCGAAGTTTATGCTGGAGTAGTAAACTCTAAAACTAGAGGATTGTTCAACTATATCTTGGTATAGTTGAATCAGGAATTCCATATGGAAATTACGTATGATACGCCAATGACCTCAATATAACCTAAAAAACAACAAATGTCAAAAATCTATTGTTTATCCCCAGAATTGAATAAGGATGGAACTATATAACTGTTTCACAAACACTTTAGAGTGAGAGGAGACGAGGATCTGTCCGTACCCTGTTAAGATGTCTTTAACGTCAATTTCCATCAAGGAACTCTAGGTTATCCCAGTATCTCGAAACGGGAACCCGGTAAAAATAGCAAACTCTAATAATAATATCATCTTTCAGTTAAACCACTTGCCGCACCTGCAACCACCAAACGACCCAGCAGCTCCAGCTCCCCCACCAGCGCCTCCGAAGAAACCGCCTCCGACAGCGAACCGAACACAACGCGAAATAAGGCGCACGATGCGACCAAAATGGGAAGTACTCGTGTCGATCATACCGTAACCAAAACGGGAAGTGCCCGGGTGGATCCTACCGCGACCAAAACGGGAAGTGCCCGGGTGGATCCCGTCGCGACCAAAACGGGAAGTCCCGTCGCGTCCAAAACGGGAAGTCCCCTCGCGACCAAAACGGGAAGTCCCGTCGCGACCAAAACGGGAAGTCCCGTTGCGACCAAAACGGGAGGTTCTTCGGTCAAGGCGGAGAGGACGGCGAGGCGGATGGTGATGCGATCGCGGACAAAACAGGCTGAGAGAAGGGAGGAGAAGGGGGGGAGGGTGGGGAAGAGGGAGGCGGCTGGAGGGGGAGCGGGGAAGGGTGGGGGTGGAAAGGGGAGGCAGCGGCCGAGGAGGACGAGGAAGGTATGTAGTGTTTTCTTTTATTTTTCATATGGTGTTTATTCTAAGAATAGTTTTCAAAAAACCACACAAGACTTATGGTGTGGTTTTTTTGAAAAATATCCACTTTTTCTGCAGCTGGCTCAAAAATTGTCTATTTTTGTGTGGAAAAGAGCATGTACGGAGAAAATGTATCTCAAAATACAGTGTGTCCTACCTTGTAATGCAAGATCCTATTATTGTCTTATTTATTTAGTGACTTTTTTTTTTTCAACTTGTGATGCTGTTGGATAACTTGGTCAATAACTATTTATTTACTCATCTAGATATTGGGTATTCTCTCACCTTGTCCCTATAAATAAAAATATATCAGTATTATAATAGGCCTGGACTAATATTGAATAATTGGCATTCAATTACTCCACTAGGTTGTTAGGGACTCAAATTATTTTTTTGAACACTTCTTTCGCGTTTTCAATGTAAATTATGTGTCTGTGTTGGTCAAAATTGTTGAATTCCAGAGCTTATTTCAAACGTGACGTCATGGCCGTCATTTGGTCATATTCTGGGATTAATAAAACTTCATCTGAATAAAATATTTCATTTGACCTAATAGGAGGATGCCATAATAATATTTTTATTGATTTGAGACTATGGAGCAACCATTTTGTCAACATATTCCTTGTACCCCATAACAAAATATCATGCAAATGTTGGTTGAAGACTTGTTCTGAAAGCTGAGAAGTGACAAGACAACGCCAACAATCCTTACCATGTTGTCATGTATATTGGTCTAAAAATGTCCTCTGAGGTGAATTAATATTATTATTATTCACACTAATTTATTATGAGCAATAAGCCACAACACATGAGAGGGAACATTTCAAGACAATGGATTTTTTATAGCTAATTGAAATATAATTGAATTCAATCTCATATTTTCTTTCCACTTTATATTTTTTTCACGTCTCTTATTTTTGCCTGAACTCAAATTGTTATGAAACCGTAATGTTTTGATGAACAATGAATGATTGGTTAATTGATTGATTATAGCTAATTGAGAATATTGATTCTTAAATAAATAATATTCTTGAAGTTCCTATTTGTATTTCAACATATGGCAACAGTGATATAGCCGTTTGAAACTTATTGATGATTTTAGCCCTTCAGCCTCTTTAAATCGAGCTTAAAATCGTCCGAAAAAAACTACAAAATTGTAGTTGAATGATGATTATATTAAAAACATAAAAATAAATGCCTCCACTTGCCTATCATCAATCTACTAGTAGTAAGGACAAATCAGATGATTTGTTCATAAATGTCACTGTGCTTGAGAATTCACTATTAGTAACCTAAGAATGTAATTTAATCGATAGTCAAAGTCAGAGACTTGCTTGAAGGGGAAAATAATTTTGGTGTATTTGAAAAAATATAAAACTTCACTTCACTTTGGATGTTTTGGGATCGAATCTGCTACCGTTTTCAAGACTGAATTTTGTAATAGGTCGCGTGCACGAAGACCGACCCTGGAGGCAAAATATCGAAACACAACCTCATTCTTCTGTGAATTATTGAAACACAACCTCATTCTTCTGTGAATTATTGAAACACAACCTCACTTTTTTATTTGGTTACAGAGGAATCAAAAGGTTGAAATAGTTTTTCCCAATATTTTGGCATACGAATCGTGTTTCTTGCGTTATTCATTAATTCAAGCATGCCTTCGCATTGTGCTGTTGTTCAATGCACAAAAAATGCAGCAAGAGACTAGGGAATATGATTTTTCAGGTAAATAGTAATCTCACATAGTTAGCATTATGAAATGTTGTCATTCCTTATTAAAATTCCTTCTGCCTTCTGCCACTTCTGCAATACAAGCTAATGCTGCTAATAGATTGAAAATGTCTACAACACACACGATCGTCAGCATGTCAGACCAGTCCTACCGATTGATTGCATATGAATCCGATCTTCTTGCATTATTCTAGAAATTTCAGGTATATTTCTATTAGCTCCTATTGCAGAAGGAATTCCGATGAGAAATCAGAGAAATAACCAAATTTCAAAAATGAAAACTATGTGAGTGACTATAGTAGGTAAGTACTTACTTTTGAATCATAATGTACCATCCGGATTTCTTCATCTTCCGCTGTAGTTTTTGTGCATTTTACAACAGCACAATGTGATGGCATTAGCGAATTGATGAATAGCAGAAAAATACGATTCATATGCCAAAATAATTGTGGAAAACTATTTCGATCACTTGTAAACAAATATGTTTTGCCTCCAGGGTCGGTCATCTGACAGTTCTTGCACGCGACCTATTGGGCTTGCCTTGCTAACCTGACCAATCAACCTCGTTCCATCAGCGACAACATTTTTGACATACAAACCGTCAAAATTTTGTTGGAAGCCAGAATGATGGATGTGGTGTGCGCAACTCTCGCGAGACGCTCGTAATACGAGAGGTCGGTTCGTTTGTATTGCTGAACTTGCTAAAGTTGATTTTGTTCATATAGTTGTCTCTGTTCATTGCATGATGTAAACAGAGAAAGTCATAGAAGAAAATCAAGTTGAGCTGGAATAGCAAACACAAACGATCAGGCCTTGGATATGTTCCGGTAATCTACCGAGGTTACCGATGCTTTCAGGGCCATTTTGACAGTGGTTATCTACTAGTTACTACGATTGTGGTTTATTTACGGTATGTCAGTCATATGTCAAATTATAGTTCATATCATTTTTTAAAAAATTCATGCTCGGCCAGTATGATTTACAGTTATGGCATCCAAAGTCCCTAATTCTTGTGCACAGTAAGCACAAGCAAAGGATGTCCTGTGATAAAAAAACATCATCAAATTGAGAATATATCAATTATTAATTTACCGTAGTAAACGAATCCATCGGAACTTTATGCAATAACTGAAATGAGAATATTTTATTTCCTTGTAAATCGAAAAATCAAACTGTAAACTAAAACACGTCAACGTCAAGTCAAACTTACCAGAAAAAATCGACAGTCGTTCTGGTGACGAGTTTACCGATTTTTCTGCAACCGAGTTCCTTAAATAACCTTTTTTTCAGGAACAAACCGAACATTCGATACTCGCCTACAGCTCGTAGTTTTGATATCAATGTCATTCACGAAATTACTAGGCAACAAGCTGTAACAATCACCGAATATTTCCGGCAAAATATTATCACTTGTCCTATTATTCAGGGTGGGCCACCAGTAACACCTCGGTCTCTAATGGTCTCTAGAAGGCTAACCACTTATCTTCTTGGAATTCTTCCTATCTAGGAAGTTGCATGTCAACATAGGCTACCATTTAAAATTATTTCGAAACATACAGGGTGTCCCCAAAAACCATAAAACACTGAAGTTAAACTTTTTTCTATCGAACACCCTATAGTTCCCTAAGTTCAAGAATTTTTTGTGTCGAAACTATTCATAATTGGTCAAAACGGCTTACATGTCCCTATCTCAACTTTTGATTAACTATCTACTGATATTTAGTTGGGACATATACCGGGTGATCAAGATTCTGAATTCTGCACAACCCTGTATTTGTTTCAATTAAATGTCAGTAGATAGTTGATCAAAAGTTGAGGTAGGGACATGTGAGCCGTTTTGACCAATTATAAATAGTTTCGACACAAAAAATTCTTGTACTTGGAAAATCTCGATTTCTCACACCCTATATCTCAGTAATTATAACTGCTAGACCTCAAGTATGATGGATTGTTGAAATCAGCTCACCAGGGAGAATCTCAAAATGAAATAATATATAGGGTGTTCGATTGAAAAAAGTTCAACTTCAGTGTTTTGTGATTTTTTGGGACATCCTGTATGTTTCAAAATAATTTCAAATGGTAGCCTATGTTGACATGCAACTTCCTAGAGAGGAAGAATTCCAAGAAGATGAGTGGTTAGCCTTCTAGAGACCGAGGCGTTACTGGTGGCCCACCCTGTATATGAGAACATGAACGATATTCCATAACTTTTTATTTCAATCAATTACTTCCAAAAATAGATTCTTTATAAAAAAATAAAATGGGGGCAATTATTACCCCCACCCCCATTTTGAAAACCGGAAAAAAATAATTTCATCTATCTGTCTAAAGTGATAGGAAATGCTGTCTGTAGGTTAATCGAGGAGGTGGTACATTCATTATTCCAAATTTTTTGGGATTTTCTCTCCTCGTTTCTATAAAATAAAAATATGAATATTATTTCAATATACGTGTAGTAAGGACAAATCAGATGATTTACCCCAAAATGTCACTGCGTTCAAAGAATTTTCCTATCAGAGAGCCTAAAAGAAAAATTCACTAGCTTGTCAGTGACAATTTGTATTGAAAAAATTTTTGGAGAAGGGAAATAAAGGTATATAGAAAAATATCAAATTTTCACTTATCTTTGGACGTTTCGGGACCGATTCTGCTCCCGTTTCCAACATGAGAAGAGATTATTTCAATAGCGAAGTCGTATAATGTCTTGAAGCTTTTCAGTTTTCAATGACAATTGGTGACGTTGGCAATCAAATGAGTTACATTCTTCTGAACGGAGACAATAGCATTGCTTCTTGTTCAGTTGATAAAGACAGAACATGGTATTCACTACTAAAATCTGAACATGAAAATGGTAAATTCAAGATCAATTAATGAAAACATCCTGTAACTCATTTGATTGCCAACGTCACCAATTGTCATTGAAAACTGAAAAGCTTCAAGACATTATACGACTTCGCTATTGAAATAATCTCTTCTCATGTTGAAAACGGGAGCAGAATCGGTCCCGAAACGTCCAAAGATAAGTGAAAATTTGATATTTTTCTATATACCTTTATTTCCCTTCTCCAAAAATTTTTTCAATACAAATTGTCACTGATAAGCTAGTGAATTTTTCTTTTAGGCTCTCTGATAGGAAAATTCTTTGAACGCAGTGACATTTTGGGGTAAATCATCTGATTTGTCCTTACTACACGTATATTGAAATAATATTCATATTTTTATTTTATAGA